TGGTTCTTTCTTAGCTCACCGTAAACAAATGCTAAAGAAATGACAGAAAATTGGCCGAGAATGTACAAAATGATATACATAGACGGGATTCATCATGCTCAATGCAAACATCGTGCCATGAATATGATCCAAACCATTCAGCTGTTATTCCAAGAACCCAACATTCAATTCAAACGTTACTCCAATGTTCCATTCAGCCATCATTCCCACAGTCCTTCCAGTGTTCATTCAGCCTAAATCACATCTGCGAGGCTGAACTCAATCTACAATCACCCCCCCCCCTCATCCATCTGCCCACTTCTATCCTCAGTTATCCTTCCTCTATTGCAATCACCGCTGAAACAACACTCATCCATCTCTCTGTCTCTCTGCCCTCACACCCTGTGGTGAGAAACCTTCCATTTATCTTGGGTCCCCTTGTTTTTGCCATCACGTTCCCTCTCTCTGTAATCCTCCCATCCTTCCGTCCAGCCATCCATCTAGCCGTGGATGCACTCCCCCCCCCCCCATCCCCTCTCTTCAGTCTCGCTGGGCTGACAGTGCTGCAGGCTATCACCAATTATCCCAGCTAAAGTTGTGCCTACATCTATACATCTCACACAACCACATACAATATCTTTAGATGTCATCTGACACAATATCCGACATCTCCGGTATAAGGAGACGGCATCACCACACGCTTTGTATGTAAATGTGTGTACTATCTGTGTCTTTCACTCTTGCTACGCTGGCACTCGAAAATGAACAAATACAATGGAAACGGATGATCAGTTTAATCCTCCGATGTCATATGAGTAAATAATAAAAAATACTAAAGTAATCAAACACCGAGTCTGGACAATAGCAGAACAAAGCAACGGATAATAACACAAATCCAACAATGCATTTATGTACAGATGTTACTATACAGTGGCAATGTTATGTCCAACAGTATTTCCACTCTATGGAAACTCCTTATATGGTGCTGGTGTATTGTGGTTAAATGTATTCCATAAACACAGATGTACTATTGTGTGCGTGTGTATATGTGTGACAGAGAGAGAGAGAAAGAGAGTAAATAAGACTGAATACGATTGTTAATGGAGAAAGATGGACAGATATTTAATGGGGGGAAGATTTATTTTTTCTATAAAAGAGTATTACTGTCATTTTGAGTGTGTGTGTGTGTGTGTGTGTGTGTGTGTGTGTGTGTGTGTGTAAGACAGGAGAGTGCTGATGAAGTGGCAGCAGTAAAGAGGAAGAGAAAGAGGGAGGGATGGAAAGGCAATGAGTGATAGGCAGTCGCAGAAAGATAAAGCGAGAGAAAAGAAAGACAGGGGAAGAAGGACAGAAGAGTGTAGACATAAAGCAAATGAGAGACAAAGAACTCGAGACGTGAGACAGGAAAAAAAGACAAAAAGAGGGGGAGGGAGAATTGTACGCAACGATTTCTGTCCTACATTCACAGAGGCTGCGTTAAATCACGCTCCACTAGGCAGCACATGCAGCCAATACAGCCAGGATCAACACACATTTTCTCTCACTTTGTACTGTACTCCGACCTGCAACCCGCTGATCCACAGACTACTGTAAGACAACCATGCTTAAAGCACTAACAAACGGCTGAACAGGCTGTAAAATAGAAAATTGTTATCATCAATGCTGCATGTCTTTGTTAATAAAACACATTCACTGAGAGGGCAAAATAGACATAATAGAGCGGGCATGAAACCAGTAGACCCAGTGCAGGTTCTCATATCCAGACAGACAGATGTTCAGAACGTTCACATCTGAAAAGCAGACACCGTCCCTAAAATACACAGAGAGACTGAATACATAACTCCTCGCAGTATGGAGTCCAGGAAAGCTTTCAAAACACTTAATACTCCGATGTGAGCGAGCGAAATGCACATGAAAACGTGTTTGCCAAAGAAGAGAACACATATGGTTACAAAGCTCAGAGAGAGGAAATCCTGCCATGTTTCTCTCTGTAGACACTTTCAAAGGCCGTCGGATTCATCTGCATCCGTAACTGAAAATCATCTCGTAGCTTCAATAATTGCTTGGAGGGTGTTCTACTCAGACAGCTCACTATTAAGTGTGTTTACTTCATTTTGCTGCACGTATGGACCACGATACGGAAACAAAAAAAAAGAGAAAATAATCAATCAATTCTACTGTGAGCCCCGGATATGTTTTTAGTCTGAAACGTTTAACCAAAGGAACACATTTGCATATCACAAAAGCTCCATCTTCATGAAATACAAAAACTCATTAAAATGAAAATCATTTAATCCTTCTGGCTCAAAAACATTGCTCTGTTGCAAAATGACGGCGAAAACCGGTCACGAGGCGTACGTTTAGCGTCTAAGCAAAACGTGGTGTCGGGGTCAGACTTTAATCACATCATCATCAAACAGACACCCTCATTCGCGGATAGAGATTCAAAGGGAATACCGCTTTCCGTCTGTCTCTTTAAAGCTCGGTCTGCACCAGAAAAGACTAGTGGTTTTTTAACTGATGTCTCATGAAACAAAAAAGACTCTTTTAATCTTCGCTGCTGCACTCACCAGCTCCATACAGACACAGACCACTTCTTTCTCACACGCGTAGTGCTTTTATTTTCTATCTATGAAAAAGTGTGAACACACTTCAATCCAACTAGGCTTTTGAACATTGTGAATGATATACTTTAGCATCATCTGCCCACGAGAAAATGAAAACGGAAAAGCTGTTTCCTCCATGTTGGGTTTATGACACATGCATATACACAATATATCTACATCTCTAAGAGGGAAAACATGCAAAATATATAGTCTTTATAAACTATGCATTTCAATTTCTCTTTTCCCTGTGCTAGATTTCATAGTTCACGAAAACACATTTCTATAACAGCACCACAGTGTACATGAACAGAGGTATCGCACATGCAGCTGACATGGTGCTGGATATACAGTAACTTTTTGTGAGCACCATCAAAAATGTTCCTTTTACTACAAAGAACCATTAAGAATAACAAGACGAAGAGTCTACAGCCATGCTTGTGGCTCTGAGGCTGAACAGACGTTACCTACTGCTACCGTCAGCATACTGAAGCTCACAATGGATGGATGGATGGATGGGTCAAATAAACACAGGGCCTTTACCCAGGAGATTGGTGTTGGTGTCCCGTGTGAAACCAAATGTCAATGTTGACTTATTTCAAGTCCTGTGGAAAACTGACAGGTGCACAACCTGAAGCTAGAGGGGTACCTGGAGCTTCATAGTTTGAAGTGTAGGGCCACTGTCCGATTAACGATTAGGGGTTCCGTGTCTTGCTCACAGACACATCGGCACAGGACACGTAGCAAGCCAAGGATCGTACCACCAACCTCTCTACCCCATGAGCCACGGCCGTCCGTGTGTGTGTTTCAGTCTGAACCACAAAAGTCAAACCCTGGGGAGCTTTAACGTCTGTAAAAAATCCCTGCCAATCTATCTAATTAGTTTTTGAGATATTTCAGCCTGGATCAAGGTGGTGGGTGATCCAAACAACCGACAGTTGGAGAAAACAAAACTGCAGTCTACAGTATTTGTTTGTACTACTGTACAAGCATTAGTATGTCAACAACTAAAGCACGTTGCCAATAATGCAGACAGCCAGTCCAAACCAAGAGCCCAAAAAGCTTTTTTTTTTTAATGACACTACTACTTTTTATGTGTAATTCTTAGTATTCTGAGTAATTCTAAAGTGCATACATCTTTATTCTATACAGTATATGTTCCAGTATACAGTAACACAACATCCTCAAAGATGCTTCTCTCAAAGGGACAAAACACAAGTGTTTTTTTTTTTTTTAATACTCATGGCTACAACCTGATATACACAGTACAGAATGAAAACGCCAGAGATATTTATTGCATTTATTTTTGTTTGCCTCATCAGCCACAGGTCACATGGCACACTTGACAGCTATTTCCTAATGATTTCCCCACAGAGACTCCATGTCTGATAAAGTTAAGCTGGAGATGGTGCACACTTTATTACACTACGGGTTTGTTTTTTTTTGTTTTTTTAGAAGACATATGCTGCATCTAAAAAGGCCATGCTTTACTTCTGGAGGCATGGTGTGATGAATTCAATAGAAAATCTGATTTGTGAAATGCTCCCTGAAAGCACTGAGCCTTGCACACCTGCAACCAGCCTCCTCAAATGATCAAAGCCAAGAAAATGATTCATCATACTGCACATGCAACAGCAAAAAATTAAGCAAACCTCTGCATGTACTGTTCAGGAGTCGGCCATGTGTAGTTGAGCATCTGGGACCAATATTTTAGTTCATCGCTTGAGGCTGACACTCTATTGGCGGAGATGAAACACTCGAGAGCCACCAAATAAATCACACATTTCGATGTTCCATACCACGCAGCTCCATGCCGCTGTAATAACTTCTCTGGAATTCTTTCTGAAATTTTTTCGCCACGCCACTCAGAGATGCTCTTGGTTTGCGCAAGTAGAGTCTAGTGTTCAGGTCTGAAAATTGAGTAATTTAAAGAAGATTGGAGAGGAGTGAAGGGGAGGAAAATAGAGAGGCCCTGGGCGCCCGTGGAAATGGCAGTTAAGGTCGGTGGTGGGAGTTTTTGGGCTCGACTCGGAGCAGAACAGCGGCTGGATGAGAGCAGCAAAGTGCTGCTGGGCTCGGGGGAATACCCTCCTCCACTAAGAATGACGCATAAGCAAGAAACACTCTTAGTAAAAGAATAAAACCCGTCTGTGCACACACTCAAGCACACAATACTAAAAACAAACATGTGCATGGATATAAAAATAAACAAATGGGATGAAGACGGCAACCCAAAGCAAACAGTCACGCACCGACAAACCCAAAAAAGACCAAAAATGTGAACCCTGGGAGATGATTTTAAGTAAAAAGCTGGAAATTCTCACATTTAAAATTGACTGGTGACGAAAAAAAGAAAAGAAAATTTAATCAGTTAAACTGTTTATACGAGCACCACTTTGCACACAAACTTCCTCTTACCTTGACACGATCCGTTGATTTCCTCAAATCCCGGCTGGCACACGCACTTCCCGATCGGCACCAGCCATTCTCCCTCCGTGCTGCAATGCATCCTGGGAGGCTCATATAAAGGCAGGGAGTTATTGACGCAGCGGCCCACTACCTCCACCAGCTGTGAAGCCTCTGAGCCTGGGATGGTGTCGGGGAACTCGGCCAAACTCTTCACTAGAAGCGGGCAGCGTTTGTAGAAAACGCGCACAGACACCAAAGCGATACAGGCCCCCAAATCCTGAAAAGCCAGGTAGAAGCCCTTCTGAGTCAGGGGACCTAAATCGCGGACTTCCGTGTTGAGTTTCATCACGCGGTCCCCAAGGTCCAGCTCGGTGAAGCTCTCGTCGGCTGCTATGGTGTCAATTTTGATGTATCTGCTTTCCTTCATCGCCCTGTCTTCCTCCTCCGTCATCCCCATTCCATCGCTCATCTCTCCGTCCTCCATTTCCTCCTCGCCCCCGTCCGTTTCGTAGTAATACATGTTAAACGTCTCCTTGCAGGTCCCGACCCCGCCGGGCAGGCTGTTGCAGTCTCTCAGGGTGAACTTGAGCTCGATGAAGACCCGCTGGGCGCCCTCGGTCAGGATCCAGTTGGTGTGGAGCCAGTTGTTCTGGTTCTGCTCCATCACCCGGCACACTTGGTAAGTGTGGATCGGAGCGTAGTCCTCGTCCACTTCCCCGATCTCCTCCCACTGAGACAGAGAACAGAGTACAAGAACCTCAGTATTTTACTTAAGTACAATACTTTGCAGTAATGGTATCGACAAAACTCGATTATCTGTGCCAATATCAGAATATTTTGAATAATACCCAGATGTAATAAATTGATGAATTGAGAACCATGGAGATGCAGTAAGAATGAGCTACGTGAACCTGTTTGAGAGGCTTAACACTGGCGAGGAAATTATAAAGAGTGTGTGTGTGTGTGTGTGTGTGTGTGTGGCTGGGTATAGATAGCAGAATAATCCTCATCCCTTCCACCTCGTTTGCTCCTACTGCAATAGACAGAAAATAATGAGATAGTGTTATGGGGTATATATGCATTTACCATGAATGGGGGGGGTGGAGTTGTCAGCAAAAAAAATGATTAACCTGCCCTTAAAGGTGTGTTCATCGGTGTGTAGTGCATAGCCATACCTCCATAAGCGTGTGTGTGTTGGTTCCTGCCTGTATGTGTGCATATATGCAAATGACTCAGTCAGTGTTCAAGCACGTGTGTGTGTGTGTGTGTGTGTGTGTGTGTGTGTGTGTGTGTGTGTGAGCGTCTGCATCTATGCCTGTGTGTGTGTGTGTGTGTGTGTGTGTGTGTGTGTGTGTGTGTCAGACAGCAGCATTAATTCCCTCTGCAAGTCTCCTGGGAGGTGGCTATTATCTGCATCACTAGCACTCTCCCATGGCTAATACAGGCGCTTCATCATGTCACTGTAATGGCCAGAGGGACCAGACTATGATCTGGTGTTATAGCTTAATAGCCCATATTAATCAACCCCTTGCTTTAGTCGCCGTGTACAACCTTCTGTCTTTGTCTTTTCTCTCTCTTCTCTGTCTTGTTCTCAATTTGTCTTTTTTTCCCCTTCTCATTCCTCCCTGCTTTAGTCGGCCTCTTTTCTTTTCTGCGTATTATCATTCAGTTTCTGAACCATTTGTGGATGAATGAAGGTATAGTCAAGTGTTGACTATACCTTCAAATGCACATGCCTCTGGGTTGATTAATCATATTGTGTGTTTGTGCTTTTGTACTTCCATCTTTTAGAGCACCGATATGAGTTTTAGGCATCAACAGTGACCACATCTCTGGAAAGTGAGAACATTTTAATAAGAGGCCGAGCAGGAAAAAGCCTATAGCCGATTACCGGCCAATACCCCTCCCCTTAGAGAAAAAATAATATATACATAAACTGGAATGAACAATCTCTGACTCAATTACAGAAGGAAGTATTGGTGCCTAAATAAATAAATCTAGATCACTGCACATTAAACTGAAAAGTAATAAAAAGTACTACCAAAATAAACTGTTTAAAACTGTAAAATATTTTTGACGATATAAATCTCAGGCTAAAAATGAAAATGAAAGTAATGAATACATTTATCTCTAAATGATCATCAAACAAAGTGGAAGAGAAAGGTTTCTCAGCGCCACATTAGCTTGAGTTTACAAAGCGTTTTTACTTTTGTCGGCTACTTTGCATCTATGCCATTTCTAAATCAGTTGTATTTCCAATTCGAATCATTAGTGAGAGAGTATCCTGAAGTGTGATTTGAAGGATTACATTGTTGGATTATGTTCCATCTGTAGTTTATGACTGGTCAGGATCACTTCTGTTACATTGTTAAAAGCCTTTCTAACAAACGATTAATGTTGGTGCACATACCCGGGGTAAAGAGGATCCTAAAATGTTCCATTCCATGTTAAATCATGAATGGATAGGTCTGTGGCTGGATTATTTGGAAGAGAGGACGCCAAATTAGTACGTAAATTAAAGTAACAGTTGAATGATTTCTATTCCATGCTGTCTGCCTGTTATGTGCTGTGGACAAAGAGCTGACAGCACAACTATAAACTGAAAATGGGTCAGATAGGACATGATGCCACTTATTTGCTTGCCGCAAAATAAGCTGTTAACGACAACCGCAAAAGGTTTAGCCCACGCTTTCTAACCCTATCGCCAGAAATATGTATTTCCTAAATACATTGTGAAGAGAATCACATTTTTCAACTTCAACCAACCTGAATTCTTCAAAGGGGCTGTTTGAGGGTTGACTCTTAGTTTATTAAGAGTAAAGGTTAGACATAGCCCCGGGTAAAGGTCAAACTAAATCCATTATGTCTTCACAAGTACACACTGTAGATGCACAGACCTGATCTGTGGGTGCTTGAGTGTGACTGAGTCCCGATCTCTCCCAGACTCCAGCCCAGTCAGTCACAGTGCAGACATTAAGCCTATTACTGGTTAGATCACACAGATCCACCAGGCTTTACACAGCTTAACACACACACACACACACACACACACACACACACACACACACACAC